AGGAACGTCGTGATTCTAGAACCTCTCCAAACGTCGTGATTCTAGAACCTCTCCGGTCGTTACAAGGCTGCCAGTGCTTCTGCAGGCTCCATGCCGAACAGGGCTTGAGGGGGTCGAACAGCCGACGAGAACATCTAGAAGCTTCTGACAGCCCTCAGGGGCTGCGTTCCGTGGCTGGAAGCGTCTGGACGGTGACGCAAGGCCTGCGGGACGGGGCCCATGGCCCCGGGGAGCCCAGGTCCTCAGGCACCGGGGAAAGGAAAGCTTCTGGGGCAGACAGGTTTCACGTGCGGCCAAGTGGGGAGCCAGATTTCATCCACTCCACCCTTGGAGGCCTTAGAGGACCCCTGTGCCTCCCGAGGGTCCCTCTCCCAGGCTCCCCCTCTTGCGGCCCACCTGCCTGGTGAAGGAACACCCGCTCACTGCACAAGACTCCGCCCCAGGCCACCCCTGTCCCCAGACAGAGCTGACCGCCGACCCTGAGCGCCCCGCCCCACCCCGGGCCCCGGGCGGACGCCCCCAAGGCAGGTCCGGGGCCCCGAGCCCGAGCCACCGGCCCCGGGAAGGCACGCGGCATGCGTCTCCTGAACGCCAAGGGCCCCTGCCCGCGTGGCAGGAAGTGGCACCTTGCCGTGGCCGTGGGCTCGGCGAGGCTGCTTCCCTCGCTCTGCCTGCCTTTCTGCCAGGCAGCTAGAACCAAAACAAACCATTCTGTTCCTCCAGAAAAACACAAATAAATAAGTCATCAGAAGCGCTCTCCTTTTCCCTGTCACCGGCCCTGCCTCCTCGCTGATTCACCAGCGGGGTGGGTGGGGTGGGCGGGTGCCAGGCAGGCGTGGCTGCTAATGGACCCCGTGCATCTTCAGAAAGCCCCACTGGGGGTCACGGCTGCCCTGGTCCCCCTCCGTGGACGGGCCGCGGTGGGTGCTCACGGGTCCGGGAGGTTCACACATCCGGCCTCTTGGCTGAGATCTGGTGCGTTCCCCAGCATCAGACAAGTCCTGGCTTTCCAGGGACCGGTGACCCTAACAAGGGCCCCGGGCGTCCCTCAGGCCTCGACGGTGGCCGGACCCGGTGACCTCACCAGCCTGGGCCCAGTCCCTTCTTTCTTCCTCTCAGAGTAGCTGTGAAGGCAGCCACTGTTAACAAAATAACACAGGCATCTTGCCCAAAGGGGTCAGGGCCCCAGAGGGCAGGACGGTCCCCGAGGTGGCTACCACCTGGCTCTCCTTCACGTCCCTCCGGGCTGTCCCCTCTCTGCCACAGGCTCCCCCTGGATGCAAGGCCCCGGTCTAGCCCCCTGAGCCCCAGTCCCTGAGCTTGGGCGACTGCCTGGGGGCCTCTGAGCTGAGCCCTGGGTTAATGATCTCTAGATGATGCTGGCCTCTCTCCTCAGCAGGGCCCCGGTCTTGCCCAGGCCTCCATCCTGGCTTCTGTGGTGTCCTATGTCTTTGTCCCAAGCACCATCCATGAGAACAGACCCAGCTAAAGCCCTCGGGGCGCCTCACGGCCCTCAGGAGAAAGCCCACGGCCCCTCCACCCCTTACCCTCCACCTGCGCCCCACCGCGCCCGCCCCCCGCCTCTCCCCACGGCTCCCCTTGGCTCTTGATTCCATCGCTGACCGGCTGCCCGGAGCAGGCAAGTTACACGGCCTCTCCGTGCCCACCTTCCCCGCGTGCGACGTGGGCTAAGGATGGGCCGTGGGGTGCCTTCGGCGACATGCCGTGCCCCGTGCCGCACGCCCCGTAAATGCTTTCTGGGGTTAAAGGGTGAGAACTAAGCTAGGCTTCTTCAATAGTTCCAGCCCTGCCCAGGGGAACGGCTTTATTTCAGGGCCCAACTCTTTATCACCGCAAGCAGGCCTCGCGGTGCTGAAATGATGGGGTATTCTGCGTGAGATCCTGTGGAAGGGTGCAGATTATAGAAACCTGTGGGCTTCAAAATGAGGATTCCAGACACCAGTCGCCAGAGCCTCAGAGAAGCCTGCTCGCCTTGCCAAGCCTCTGTCTCCCGTCTGGCTTTCGGCCGACAACGACAGCCCTCGGGGGTCCTAACCCCAGGGCTGGTACCACCCTCCACCCTCGGGGAGTCAGTCTTGGGTCTTATAAAAGACTTGGGTCAGATCCCAGGCTCGATTCCAGCCCTTGTGATGGACAGGACTTGCTAAACAACTTCACACACAGAATTATTCTAAGGCCTGAGCAGATGGCAAGATATTCAGGGGAAGCACCCATGCATTTGAGGAAGGAAGGGCTGGGGAGCCGGCCTTGGCGGGAGGAGGGAGATTTGGAGGATAGTCAAGGAGTCTGCATCTCCCGCCTGACCAAAGGGAAGAGATTTCCCCGGAGTGATCACGGCACAGCGGCAAAGCATTCAAGTCCCAGCGCTGGACAGAGAGATTGGGGCTCAGACCGCCCCCCCACCCCTCTGCTGTGGTTCCACAGTCACTCAACAAACCCTCCTTCCTTCCAAGTGGACTTTTCCTTACCATGAAGAAAATACAGCCAGCCTCAGGCTCCTTGGGAAAATATCAGAAGCATCCCAATTAATATCAGGGACAAGAGAAGAATGCCTGATCACTGTAAAGATGGTTTTAGAGGTGCTAGCCAATGTGACTGGACGAGAAAAAGAATGGAGGCACAAAAACTGGAAAGCAGATAAAATTGTCACTGTTTGCAAACGGCATAATTGGAAATGTGATAGAATCAACTGAAAAAGTGTTACAAAGAGAATTTCAGTAAGGTAGCTGAGCATAAAATTCGTATATTTTTATTTCTTTACTTTGAGAGAGGGTGAGCATGGGTGGGGGAGGGGCAGAGGGAGAGAGAGAATCTGAAGCAGGCTCCACACCCAGGGAGGAGCTCAACGTGGGGCTCGATCTCATGACGGTGAGACCATGACCTGAGCCAAAATCAAGAGCTGGACGCTCAACCGACTGAGCCACCCAGGCGCCCCTACAATTCTTATATAGAAGCCATTAGGTTTTGCCATCGAAACGAGAGTCAGTTGGAAGATGCAATGAAAGAAAAGATCCAGCATCAAAAGAAGTAAGGAGGAATAAACGCAAAAGATATGCAATACGATATCCGTGAAGATAATCCCAAAACGCTACGGAAGAAAATTTGAACTGGGAAGACAATACAGAGCTTCCTCAACTGATGACGCGGTTATGTCCCAAGAAGCCGGCTGTAAGCCGAAAATATTGTAAGGACACACTGCACACCGCAGCTTCGCCCAGCTGCCCTCAAACGGCTCAGAACACTCCCGTTAGCCTGCAGCTGGGCAATCATCTGCTGCAAAGCCTTGGGTGATAATCAAGTGTGGACCACGTCACGTAGTTTAGGGAATGCTGTTCCGAAAGTGAAAAAAGCAGAACGCTGATTGACATAGGCGCAGATTGCTGGTTAAGCGTGTTGGAGGTCGAGCCCCATGGTCGCCTGGCCGACTGGAAGTTGTTAAGGCTGCCACTATCCAGCCTTACCAACGAGGGTTGTACGATATGTTGCTGGCCCAGGACGGGATCAGAATTCAAAGTACGCGTCCTACTGAACGCACACAGCTTGCTCACCCTCGTGAAGCTGAAAAATCCTAAGTTGAATCAGCTTAAGTCAGGGACTGTCTGTACTCTGTTCTTGGGTTCAATGTCATGGCAAGTCCATTCTCTTTGGATTAACCCATGCATTCAACACGAGCGCAGGAAAAAATGCTACCTGGATTCTTGAAGCGGGGAGCCAGACGACACAAGATACGTCCAAAGTTCATGTGAAAAAAAGAGCTGGGGGAATAGGCTAAGAAGGCATTGAAACATATCAAAAGCCACAGTGGTTGACAAAGTGAGATGCTAGTGTATGGATAGACCAGTGAAAGCCATGAGAATGTGTCACCATCTAGATACTCAAATTTATATATTTTAGTATGTAACTTTGACGTTTCCATCAGTGGGGGGAAGATGGGCAATTCAGTGAATGGTGTGGGGACAGCTGGCTGCCTATCTGGAAAGAAAAAATAAAAGTTGGATTCCTACCTCAAAACTTACATCCAAATAAATTCCTAACAGATCAAAGATTTGAAAGTAAAAAAAAAAAAAAAAAAAAAAAAAAAAAAAAATTAAAACATAAAAAAAAAAAAAATACAAGAAAACATAAGGGGATTTTTATGAGCTCCGAATCAGGAAAGACTTTCTCGGTCTGAGACAACACCCAGAAGAAGACACCAAAGAAAAGAAATGGATCCGATGTGATTCTATAACAGCTAAAGATTAAGCATGAGGTGAAAGCATCACACATTCAAAGGCACACTGAGAAAATATTTGCAACACATCACATCCCCTTCATATATAAAGAGTGCCTGCAAATCACTAAGAAAGAACAGCCAGAAAAGTCAATGGGGACGGGGCAAAGGGCATAAACAGCTGGCTCGCAGTAAAAAAAGCACAGACGGCTTTCAAACCTGTGGAAAGATGCTTCGCTTCTTTCGCTCGCGGTAAGAGAAATGCATGTTGTTTCGATCCCGCACGCCTTTACCTAGCACACTCCCACTGCCTTTCTGCCGGGAATATCTCTTTCTTTATTTACGCTCTTGGTCCCTTCCGTTTGGGCCTCGGTCTCTTGTGTTTGAATCACCTTAAGGAAAGGGGCTGCGTGGGATTGATCTCTGGGTCAGAACTGTCAATCGATATTTGTCGTGCAAATAAATAAGGAAGGAACGAACGAACGAACGCGGATTCCAGGCCCAAGCACCTTCCACGCCTCAAAGCCTTCCACATCCTTGACATCATCTAACTTCTGCAGCAGCCCTGGGAGCTGGGGGAGGTGGGCAGGGAGGTAGCCGTCGGTATGATGTGCCCATTTCCCAGAAGGGAAGGCTAAAGTCAGGCCAGAACACCCATCACCTGAAGGCTTTCCCAGACTCCTCCCGGGCCCACCCATCCTGTCCGGTGAGCTGCCAGCCGCCCCAGGGGACGGAGTGTTGGAGCGGGGCCGCGGCCCCAGCGCGGTACTCACTTGTGCATGTAGCCCTCGGACCCCGCCGTGAGGTTCGCCTGCATCACCGCCTGAAACTCTGTCTCGTTGCAGCAGTATTTGAAAACCGTGTTGTTATGGTGACAGCAGAGAATGAAGGTTTTGTTGTCCGAGAGCCGGGGGCAGTGGAAGCCGAAGTGATAGCGGCCTTTGTGGTCCGTGTATGGCTCACAGACTCGGAAGTGCGCGGACAAGACTGGAAAACAGAGTCACCGGCTCAGTGGGGTGCTTCCCCGAGCCCGGCTGCCCTGGGAGCCCGCCAGCTCAGCCTGGTTCACCGTGTCGCCAGCCTCTTCCCTCCCCAGAAGGGCTCTGGGGTCCAGTGTGAGCCTCACTTCTGCCAGGAAGCTGGCTCTGGGCTGCTGTCTCGGCCCAGGCCCCCCCTTGCTGTCAGCCCTGCTTACACTGTGTCCCCCAGACTGGGGGCCCCTTGCGGGCAGGGCTACATCTTAAGCCTCCGGGGCTCTGCACACGGCAAGGACACGACGTTCGCCGAGCGCCTGCTCTGCACGTCACGCGCTGTATCTCGTTGAACCCGCTTGGCCTTCCCACTTTACAGATGGAAAAACTGAGGCTCAGCGGCCTCTAGTGGTCTGCCTCAGCTGGTAAGGGGTGGTACAGAGAATCCAGCTCAGGCCTGCCTGGGTCTGAAGTCCAGCCCTCTCCACTCCCCCGTCGCTGGCTTTAAGAACCTCTCTGACCCCGTGGGCTGGTGGCGGGCCTGTCGATAAGCCCAGGAAGCCTGGGTGGCGGGCAGCCTGGGTGAAGGAACCAGGCTGCCCTCTTGGAGGAAGCGACGCCTCCTCTGTACCACGGTTGCTACTGAACGAGTGCCCGAGACCCGGAGGCCCGCAAGAGCCTGGCTTGGCCGCCCCCCTCTCACGGTCACAGGGCCGTCCCAGCTTCTGGACCCCGCATCCCCCAGCTCAAGGAGAGGGGCCCCTATTCAGCCACAGAGGCTGCTGCAGGCCCCGGCCGGTATTTACCAGTCGTGCCGACGGTGATAAATAGGACCGAAAGCCTAAGCAGCTATAACAATGGAAAAAAACCTGGAACCTGCTGTCTCCGGCTTAATTAGTATCTTCATAAAAGGGATCGCTGTATCTAATTTGTATCGCTGAAAAGGGGCTTCTTTGGCTGAGGACGTTTCTCCAACCACAAAGCCTCTGGTTTTGCAAAAGCTCCTCAGCCATTTCAAAGCTCTGTGTCTGCTTAGAGGTAATCAGACTGCGGCCCACACAGCTCCCTGGGCGCACCCGGGGCTGCCGGAGGGGAGTCCCAGCTGGGCTGCGGGGCCAGTGGGCGGACGGGCCTCTGTGAGCTGGGGTGCCGGGGCCGGCTTGGGTGGCCTCGTGAGATCCTGTGCCCGAAGTACAACACCCTCTTTCGTGGGGCTGGCATGGCCACGGTGGGGAGGTGGGCCCCCGTCTCAGGAGTCAGGGGAGCCCCCCCCCAGGCCCCCTGCTCGGCCTCGACCTTGGGAAACGGAAGCCCCTCCTGCGGGGAGACAGGGGTCACTAAGGCTGCCCCGTCCTTGGTGGGGCAGGCACCGTTTCGTTTAATCTCCTGGACTCCCATTGTACAGAGTAGAAGACTGAGGCTCAGAGCGGTGATCTCCAAGTGTTGGTCCCTGACCTGCTGTGTCTACATCCCCTGGGGATGTGTCACAAGTGCAGCTCCTCAGGCCCCTCAGCGGACCTTCTGAATGAGAAGCGCTGGGGTGAGGCCAGGCCCTGCAGGGGGGCTGATGGGCACGGGTCCGGGACCCACTGGCCCAGAGGAAGGACGCCCTAACGGCTGGATGTGAGGGTGAGAGGCGGGAAGTGTCCCTGTCCAGACAGGTGAGGAAGCTCAGGGAGGGAAGGGATGGAGCGGGGC